CTATCCTCCTAAAAAAAAATCACTCAGAGATTGTTTGAACACCTTACAGCCCTTTTCAACCTATCACTAAACTCTGGATACACGCCGGTTTCATGGAAACAAGCGTCCGATCAGCCTGAACATTTGTGTATGCAAAATTTTAGAAAGAATAATCAGTAGTCCACATTCATGGAGAACACTTCAAAACTACCAAAACTCCAAACTGGATTTAGAAAATTCAGACAGACTACCGATTAACTAGTTCGACAAAACAGAATCAATCATAGATAGTTTTAATAATAAGTCATGCACTGTCGCATGTGGAAGAGGTCATCTGGACCTGACCCTCCCAGGTCTATAAGACCTATACACCAATTATAAGAACAGCAGCAACTTCTCGGAGTAATTTATTCCTGAGACAGGTGTTCCTCAGGAAGGGGTGGTTAGCCCTATTTTATTCATCATGTATGTTAACAATATGCTTCTAAAAGATCCGAATCTCGGATACTCGTCACATTTCCTAGACGATGCGGCAGTCGGGAAAAATGCTCCCACTCCATACATTGCAGCTACAAACCTCTAACCTCAAATAATTAGAAAAGTTCAATACTGCCAAAAATATCGCATTAAAATTTAATTCCCCAAAGAATTAATTAGTAGTTTTTGCAAAACTAATAAAGCACAAAAAAGACCCACCTAAAAGCCTATATGAACAGAGCACTTCTTCAGACTACGACATCAGCAAAATTTCTAGGACTAACGTATGACTCTAAATTAACATGGAATAAACATTTAAACTATATAACGACTAAAGTCTGGCAACGCACGAACTATGCCAGGAGTCTAACGGGTGGAAACAGTGGAACAACAGTCGATAACATAATCAAAATCTTTAAAACATATATACGACCAGTGATTTAATATGTGCATCACCTACATGGATTAACATAGCACCTAAACAAGTTAAAAGTAAATTACAAACAGTTCGGAACTCGCTACTTAGAACAGCATACAAAGTACTAAGATCAACATCCTCAAAATTCATGCACAATTATGCAAAAATAGAAACACTAACGATAGACTCCTACATAGTGTGCTAAATTATTTCGCCAAACATTGGCCCCAAAACGACCTACTATATAAATTTAATTGTTATCGCATACATGAAGAAGATAGCCCTAAGTATCTCTCCCCAGTTAATATATATATATAAGAAATGAAAATAAATTAAGGCCGCCTAATGCTAGACTACTATAATTTAGCATTGATTTTAAATTACTGTGACAGCATTGAAACGGTATATATGTAAATGCTTTATTAGAAACTTAGAATGAATGAAAAAATGCGAAAAATACATTTTGAGCTTTTCGCGAAGTGTAGAACTTTACACAAACAAATTGAAGCGAAAGTGTATTAAAGCATTGATAGTACAATAATGACCTACATGGACATGGCCTTGAAAGGGGTCAGAGTAAGTGCATGGACAAAATACCCTTGTAGTAATTAAGTTAATATTATACAGAAGTCATTCAACATGTGCTGGAGGGAGGAAGAGGTCGAACGAACCTGACCCTCCCAGGTATATAAGATCTCAATCCCGATCCGACAAGAAGAACTATAGAGGAGGAGGTAGAGGTCAAACTGCACTTGACCCTCCCAGGTCTTCACAATACCTAAATTCCGATGATGGTAATGCCTAGAGGAAAACATTATTTGGCTTCCGTGGAGAAAAGTCCAGTTACGCAAATATTTTAGAATCTATTGTTTTATGTTTTTTCTTTATCCTACAACAAGGACATAACTTTTGATTAAAAAAATATGAATATTTTTCTCATTTTGGGGAAAAAATATAAAAAGACATAAAAATATATCAATCTACAAACATGATGACATGCTCTTTGACCTCTGACCATAGAAAGACCCGTAGCAAGAAAGTTAAATCCCACAGTAATAATTAAAGTGAAAAAATAGTGGGCATATGTGTAAAGTATACCCTCTGTTGTACAGATCCACACTGGGTCAGGCTTTATGGTAATGATTCTCATGCAAAGAATGTCCAACTTCAATGATATGCAGAGAAAAATGTGGCCCCAAATAATTTCACTCCTTCAATTTCGCAATAAATTAATATATAGCTTTTTGAAAGAAGTTTGCACATCTGCCATATTTGCCCTGTTTTTTACCTATGAAACCCAATTTGGGCCGGACTAAATGGTATTGATTTTTGTACAGGGGATGTGGCCCTTAAAGAATGTGCAGAGAAAGAAGTGGCCAAAAATAATTTCACTCCTTAAATTTCGCAACAAATATATAACTTTTGGAAAGGAGTTGACACATGCACCATCTCTTACCTCTCTCTTTTTTTTTTGTTTCATTTTTACCCATGAGACCCACTTTTGGCACGGCTAAATGTTTTTAGTTTTTGAAGTGGATCTATAATAGTGGATCTTGAATAGTATGCAGAGAAAAAAAAAGTGTTCTAAAGTAATTCAACCCTTTAAATTCGTAGGTTAGTAATGATTCTAAACAGATGTGAATAAGATGCTGCATAAATATAAATAAAAACCATAAATATAAAGAATCTTTACTTGTTTCTAGATTTAAGCCATAAATCAATCACGTGAATGAAATGCTGCACGAATAAGAGGCTACGCGAATATGAAACTGTGAATAAGAAGCCAACTTCGGCCTCGTTTTGTAGATGTACCACAGAACTATGTGGAATGGTAACATTTTGCAGAAGTTCATACACATTTGGTTTGGTTACCTCTTGAAAGCAGTAGTTTTCAAGTACCTTACTGATCTTTAGAGAATATTCACACCTATATTTAAAGGAAGGGCATTGGAAAGATATGTAGTGATCATCGTCTTTCTCATAAAGAACATATTTAAAGTGTAATACCTACTCTCTTCTCTAGCAGCCAGATTGTTCCATAGTTATAAAGAAGCTGGCTAGTAGTACGGTAAGTTCCAAACATGTATTGTTTATATGTCTAATAAATACCATATTTCTTTTGTATAATGAAAAAACAACCATAAAATTCCAGAACAGTATCATATTTATTTCACTCAATGGTTTGTTTCTACATCTTCAGTAGCGACCTGATAGTTGCACTGCTAGATTCATAGTGCGTAACAGACAGTTACAAGCACACTTTTAAATCTATACCATAGACCAATTATGAGTATGGAATAAGGCCACGTTGATAGCATTGTTACGACAGCGGAGGTCACGTGACGCTAGTAACACGCCACGCGCTTCTAGAACGTTCATAAAGCGTCGGGAGACTACTAGATATGGGGTAGTCTTGTATATATAAGACCGGCCAAGAAGCGACGGGAACAATATGTAATTGAACTGCGGACAGAGTATTGTTGAGTTGAGCACGTGAGACGTTCGTTGTGAATTATAGTGTTTGTTATAGCGCGACTGTGAAAATTAAGTGCATTGCAAAGTTGTATTCAGAAAGAATAAACCAGTTTTATTTAAGAAAGGACTTGCGTCACTAAAGTTTCGTCGGAACGAAATTTACGGAAAATTAACTAACGAACGGAGACGTAACAATATTGTTTACATCAAAACGCAAACAAAAATATACAGCAACTTCAATGTCTAACAACATGAACGTAGGTTTGCAGCCTAAATTTATAGTGAAAACCTTTTGAATATTGATGTAAAAAAGATATACAGAACAACGACAAACAAATATTCTGCATACAATCAATGTAATATCTGCAAGATAAAGAAATGTTTCGCAAACGACGCAGGAGCAGGGGATAAATCACAATAAAAATGTTATTTATAAAATATTTTGTAAAATATGCAATGGATTTTACATTACATCTTCTGTATTACATGACAGATTTATTGAAAACGTAAGTTTGTTGCTGAGTGCAAAGCTACACAATGGATTATACATAATCTGCCCACTGTGGGTATCGAAACCTAATTTTTAGCATTATAAGCTCTTACCGCTGAATCACTGGGGTTGAACACATAGGATCCTTAAATCAATTCAATAAAGATGTCATTGCCATGGTGGGCTACTGCGTAGAAAAACATGGTAGACCGATGTCTGATTGTTCTTTACAACTAGAAATCCTCGCTACATCTAATGTTTTCTTGACCATAAATATAAAGAATCTTTACTTGTTTCTAAATTTAAGCCATAAATCAATCACGATACAGGATGAATATTATGATCATATAGCTTTGTTTATTCCCTCTTGTTAATATTTAAATTAATTTTTGTTGTTTTAACTATAATATATTTTACAGTTGTTTATTTTGTGTTCCATATCTCTTTTTACTTCAATGTTCATATCATTTTCACTTTAACTTTAGGCCACCCCCAGTGGCACAGCGGTATGCCTGCGGACTTACAACGCTAGAATCCGGGTTTCGATACCCGTGGTAGGCAGAGCAAAGATAGCCCATCGTGTAGCTTTGTGCTAAATAACAAACAAACAAACTTAGTTTTAGGCTGCATACCTACTTTCATGTTGTTAGACAATGGTATTACAGTAGATGTTGATCGCATTGTTGTGTGAATTACCAAAAATATAAAGATTTAATATTTTACTTTCGAGAAACATGATGCAGTGCATTCTGTATGTTCATATAGATGATGTTGCACCTTTTAACATGAAAATATTTCTACTGTCATTTAATTCATAAGCATATTATACAGTATAACATTTTCTTGGTGATGCGTATGCATTTATCAACTTAATAAAAATATAACTTAAACTCAAACATGTTTGTTTTACCACCTTTGGTAATTATATATTTTTAGAAACTAGGAGTACAAATACATTTATTTATTTTTTCACTTAAATGTTATGTGTTCGCGTGTTTTATAAATCAGATACATATTATTAAAATATATATATTTATATATTTGTATTTGAAATTGTTGTTACTTTCCCAGGAATGAGTCAAATTACACAATACACCAGAATAAAATATAACACTAATTATTTGGCTTTCTAGATGGCGTTGTAAATTGTTATATGTACACGTGCACTAGGTTGTCAGACGTTCTAGTTGTAATTGTTCGATAATTATTTATATTGTATTAGGAAATTTCTTGCTTAACAGTAGCAAAATAACTGTCGTATGATATTTTCAGAACTGAAGAACACGAACTAATCTAAAGTAGAAATGACAAAAGGAAGCTTGTTTTCAGTTGCTGCTCGATCCGCTTCGTATAATATAATTCTTCAAGTATGACGAAATTGAAATTTTGATGTACTTGTAATTTTTTATACATGGGCGCCCGCAGGAAGGGACAAGAGGGGGCACTTGCCCCCTCACATTTCATAAACAGTTGCACGTATATAATGTTAAATTAATATCGTAGTTAAGCTAAATGTTTTTAGTAATGTTTATTAAAACTAAATTTGTGTTTGCGTTTAAATATACATAACACATATTCTTTTACTTTAGTCTGTTGACTTGCACTATTAAAGCTGATCCCCTATATACATGTTTTGACCCCTTGAACATATTTTTATGAACGCCCATGCTTGTATAACTTGTACTTGTAGTGTTAACTTGTGTTAATATTGCTATTAGTATTTACTATTACTTGTCTTAGCCCTAAATTTTCAATTTCCACAATCTAGTCTGGAACATTATTTGGAAATATTTGGAGTTATATACATATACTGTAAGTTGTAGGTTAAAAATGGAAATACTGTTGTGTAAGACTTGGAAGTTGGAAGTGCTTTGGGATAGATATGTATAGTATACTTGATAAACTAATATTATTAATGAACAATTTGTGGAAACATGAGCTGTCAACATTTTGTCTTGTGTCTCATATTGAATGACAAAATATATGCATTAGTTGAAGCTAAGTCAAACACCCTTTTTGGTATGAATGTTTTTTGTTTTTTATAATATTTCGTGGGCAATATATCAAAATGGATATTCCTTCATATACTGACTTAGAGAAAAATTCAAGACAATAATATGTGGAGATAACTAAAAAGTAAAATAACCTAGCATATAAATACAGCTACAATGAAAGCTTATTTTGTAATTCAATAGAGTGCTGCTTTGAATGATAACAAGTAATTGTTAACTTTCATGAAAGTTTGAGGCAGAGTGAAATTTAGAGTGGTGGTGGTTCCCTCTATATTTTTATAGATTTGGAGTTTTATTTCTAGGTGATAACTTTAGGTGTAACAAAAGTAGATATCCTTTTAAACATACTTGTAAAATGTAGGAATACACCTATTGCACCTTGCATACTCAAATGCCATGCATCCCATCAGTCACAAAATAAAATCCTTTCCCCCAGCAAAAAAATTCTGATAGAAAACCTTTGAGTTACGATGTGTCAAACCGTATGCAGTTTTGACATAAATTGTCATCTATTTAATTTCTAATGGGCAACAGGGAACCATTTGGCCCATATTGACTATCTCATTTTCTATTATTACCCTACTTCATCTTGCATATAGAAACCTCTCATGTCTATTTCTGAGATTCTTTAAAATACATAATTCCTTCTCATACTCCCTCAGTGTTACATATTCTGCTGCATCTGATTACAAACTATTTCATAGGCTGACTACCTTAACAGAAAAATAACATTGATTTAACTATAGTTGTATCTGAGTTTTCCACATCTTAAAGTAGTGTTACTTTAGATACTGTCTGCAGAGTTCTTCATAAGACTGTCATCTGGATTTATGAATTCCAGACCTCTATCAATGTATATATATATATATATAGTTTTTCAGTATCCCTGTATACTGTATCTGGTATTTGTTCTCCTTTATCATGAACTGTTGCTAAATCAACAAAGTAGGGTAAAATGATTGGTTGATAACTCTGACATCAAATATATAATATCGTGTTGAATGGCACTCTGTAAAATGTCACAGCATGCACACTTCGAACTCCACCCCTGCACATAGGATTAATACATTACCTGTGCAGCTAGCCTAGTTAAGTAAGACATAGTTTGTGTGATCTGCCATTTTAGCCCTGTTAATTACATTGTGAGTTTCAGTGAAATTAATGAAAAGTTAAGAAAGTCTGGCAACTCTTTTCTGTTTTTTAAGTATAAAAAATTAATTTTGATAAGGGATTTCAATATCAACTAACATTTATTGCCTGCAGTGCAAGATTTGACATGGGAAAAACAACAACAAACAAATAAATAGCAACACACTTTTGATACTAGGCTTATGTTAATGTACTGCTGATGACATCAGTAACAACACCCACACACATATACATACATCTATATATATAGTGTAGGACATTGTTACTAACATTCAAACCAAACTAGCTAGTTGTTCCTACACACACTATAATCAATTTAATATATTGATATTGGAATAACAATGCATGTTTTCAATATACATTCTTAGAAGCTAACATAAAATGAAGTTAAAGAGGTAAAATGTTAAATGCATGGCATTTTTGGCTTGATTAAAAAAAATGAAGCTAACAGAAACATAAAACAACAGTCAAGATAACTTGTAAATTTGGCAGTAGTAGAAGAAGTTGTTAAATACTATTAGATCATCAATAAAATGCTGCATTATCAGAAAAAATCTTTGTTTTGTTCTGACCAAAATTCATCTTGTAATGCTTATTGATGGTTTATACATCCCTGAATGGCACAAATAACAGGACAACTGATAAAACCCTAGTGAATGCTTTACATTTCACAGTGATATTAAAATATTTTAAATATTGTTTCACATATGAGGATTGCCTATTTTATTCTGTATCTTTAATGATAATGTTTAAGTTTTTCTTGTAGATCATGTATAATTGTATTTTTGTGTGTGTAGGAATTGAGAAAAGTGATAATACAGGTGTATTAGTAAATAAAATGAAATTTTTTAAAGTAAGATTTTTTCAGCTTTGTTGCATACTTTCTTTCTCTTATGTAGTCTATATGCTAAAACCAAACTGCAGTTTTTTTTTGCATGCACAAAATTATGATTGTGAAATAATCTCACAAATAGCTAGCATTTCAAATAAGATTTGCCTTTTTTCTTTATTGGAAAGTCTTTTATATACTTTTTAAGATATAAAATATATAAGATATATATATTTGTGAGAATGCATACTAAAAGCTGATATTTTATTTTTACAGGTTTGTATGAGGCTGTTGACTTTTCTTTTGAATGCTTTCATACTTCGTTATATTACCAAGGAAGCATTAGGAGTGATCAATGTGAGGTTGGTATTATTTTTAAACCCATGAGTGCAAGCATTATAAGATGATTGAATAATAAACATTTTCAGGAACCTTGCATTTTCTAGCACTTAATGTTTGTCTAGGTAACAGTTAGTAATAAAGAGAATACATGAAACTGCAAGGTAGCATTTCAAAATATTTTCTTGATACATCAAATAAAGAATACTTTTCTCAGTCTTGCATTTCTTCCTTTAATTTATTGCCTGGCATGGCCTGATGGTCAGGGCATTTGACTCACAATCTAAAGGTCTTGGGTTTCACTCCCCCCCTTTCAGCTGTGGGGCATTATAATGTGACTGTGAGTTCCACTATTCATTGATAAAAATAGCTCAGGAGTTTGTGGTGGATAGCATTGACTAGCTGCCTCCCATTTAGTCTGTCAGTGCTAAATTAGGGACAGCTAGTGCACATAGCTCTTGAGTAGCTTTTGCACAAAATGCAAAACAAACCATCCATTTAACTTATTAATGTAGTATTGAGGTACACTGATATCTTTCAGAAAATGAACATGCACAATACAGCAGGTTATGGAAAAACCATGCATAGAATAATGTTGAACATGAATAGCAATGACTTAAATCAAACACGAGGGAACAAATAAATAGAATGTATATTCAAAAACAGTGCAATTCTTGAGTTAACTAGTTGGCTTTTAATTTCTGTTTTATGACTTCTGCTTGCTGGGGTAGGAGAACACCATTTTCGCTTCAGACAAAAGTCTTAGTGCACAATCTTAGGTTACCTACATTCTCATTACAAATATTCAAATGAAATAAATCTCTAACTTATACTAACTTGTACAAGCATCTATGCCACCCCTTGAAATGAGTATGAACTCACTCCATGAAGGCATGACACAGAAAAAGCAAAGCAAGTATAAGCCTTATTGAATAATTATTGCACAATGCAACCTTTGTCTAAGCTAGTGGACTAATGCAAGTTCAACTTTTTGTACACCTGGCTTACAAGAATGTCACTAACTAAATGGTATGTAAACTAGATACATAAGAATTGTAAGAACAAATTTGAATGATTTTCCTAGTCTATATGGCTTATATATATATATATATATGTGTGTAAATTGAAAAATATCAATTATTTCAGATTTAATCTAATAGGTTTACAGCCTTTAAAAAATGATTATTCTTTTCCATTATACCCCCTGCAACTGTTACTGTTAAGCCTAGTGTTTAAGAACCAGTTATGTTAGGTTTTTTATCATTAGTTTGTCTTCATACTAAAGTAATAAAGTTTATTTTTGATTATATGGAACTTAGAAATACAACTTTATTATAAGTAACAATAACTAGTCTTTGATGTATAAATAATGTTAATAATACAATGTATTAGCCTGATTTATATTATAACCTACCTCTAACTATTGGCTGAATTTTAAACTAATGGATCTAAGTTCAAGTAAACAAGTTAATCCTTAAAACATGAAGAGACAATAAACTAGTTTTTAGATTGTATTTATTTAATAAATACAATCTATTTAACCTATTTTATGATTTACTTTATTGTGAAGACAAACTAGTGATAAAAAAAAATCTATAATTGGTTCTTAAGTATTAGGCTTAACAGTAACAGTTGCGAGGGTATAACTGAAAAGTACCAAAAATAATTTTTTTTCAGTTATGTAACATTGCATTTGCTAGAATAATTTACAAAGATTAAGTAAAAACTATTATCATACTGTTTAATTGCATAAAAAAATTAAGCATTTGATTGCAGATTTAGTTTTTATTTTGCTGAAGAAGTGTTTCAACAGTGTTAAACATATTTTCTGTATTTGCAACTGTCTAGTTTTGGTTTTGTGTAGGCAATTTTTATTAGTAATCAAAATATATTAAAACCACTGATTTATAAACAGTTTCAACTTAGTTACTTTCTTTACATAAATTACTTTTACATGCAATATTAAGATGCATATCTTACAATAACTCTGTTGTATTAAAATATGATTAGATATCAGCCAAAGATGTCACTGTATGTTGAGACATCTTAAGGAATTAGTGAATTATGGGAAGAAACAAATTGAATAATAGTGTTCAAATAGCCACTGTAAGTCTGTTCATATATGGAATTTTTGTATTGTGTGTTTAACTCACTTTTTTATTCATAGAATGTTTTGGTTTAACACAAATAGGTTGATGCTGTTGTACACAACAACCCAGTTTCTGAGTAGGGAGGCATTTAGGAGAGCATGCCTCAGTAATCCTGATGGAGGGAAGTGGCCTCAAGTGATTAATCTGCTCTGGATTACGTAAGTAAGAAATGTTTTTACTTTTTTATTTTGCTTTAGAAGAGAGAGACAAGGTCTATTTGAAAACTGTGATAATATATATACAGGGCCATTACTTCACTGATTTTTTTAATTATATTGCATTTTTTGATTTGTTAATTTGTTCTGGAGAGGCTAGTACCCTGGATTTCTGTCTGTTAACTTTTTCCACTCCCTGCTAAATCTTTTGTTTTATCACTTGAACTTTTGGTTTGTAGTTTTTTTTTGTGATTTTGTTCTAAGTATGTTTAACTTGTTGTTATTAATAGCATTGTATTGAAGCTCTGTGGAAGGATGTGTATTTTTTCTACAATGTGCATTTTCATAAATATTTTTACTTGTATATTTTGAACAGAGTTCCAGTGTCAGTTGTATGTGGTACAGTTTTGCGCCTGATATGGCTATATGTCCTTGAACCTCCTAATCCTGAAGTTGTGCCTGCCTATGAGTTAGGTGTGAATGTCATTGTTATATCTGTTGTTCTGGAGATGATGGCTGAACCATTGTTTGTTATTGGCCAGGTCTTCAAATTTGTTAAGCTAAGGGTAAGTAGTATATTGATAGGTCATTTGATGTATGATGTTTTTCATAATTTTCACAGAGAATAAAAAAATTAGAATGCAAACCCATTTATTTGAATTAATGCTTGTAATATTTACTTGATGTTTCACTTGTCCATTATTTAAAAGAGATTAAATACAAATTGATCTAGTTGAACTAATGCGTGTAATATTTACTCTTATTTCATGAATAAGATTTATAATTGTGAAGCTTTTATTTGTTGTTGCATTTTCTTTTTAGCTCAGTAAAATGTGATCATTTCATATTTGTGTTTTTGTTTTACTTTCTTATCAGTGTTTATAGAGTTGATTCCAACAAATTGTTATTTAATTGTATTTTGCATACCTATGCTTTTTTCTTATTGTGGGTTATCCTCTTTTGTTAGCCACGAGAATATGTTTGCATTACACACTTATTAGTATCCCCTTTATTTATTTGTTTTTCTTGAACTAGTTTCTTAATAAATCATATGTTATTTTTGTTTACAAAGCTACAGCAGTGAACAGAACTTTAAAAAATGGCACCTTTTTGAAATAAAAAATTTACATGTGATGGAGGAAGTTCAAACTAACTTCTGATATGTTCACTTTTACATCAGAGTGTATAAATGGATTTTTTATTGTAAAATGAAATTCAATAATATTGTTGTTTAAGATTTTTTTTCAGTTTGATTATGATAGTATTAATTTACTTCACTAAAATTCAAAGAAATAAAAAAAAAAGCTGTGTAAATACAAAAAATATTTACAGAAGACTTTAGTGGATAATGGTTTGGCAATGCACTTTTATCAAGAGGCAGGAATACTGCAGTTTCTTGAACTAAGTGCATAACCAGTATTAGGAGAATAAATACACACACAAACACATGTGCTGTTAACTACTTCTGTCTACCAATTTTTTTGGTTATGTATGTTTATTTTAATGTTAAACAAATTTGTGGCGTGCCTGTGTTCTAGATTTAATAATTATATATAAACATAGTAATAAATGAATATTGTATTTCTTCTATGAACCTGTTTAAATTTACTTTTTAAGTATGATGAACAGATTTAATTTAATCTATTTAAACATTATACCCTAGGTTAAAAATTGTAAGAAATTAAAGTTATTTCCCTTGTCAAAACCAGGAAGTGATAAATTTAAATGTATAAAAGTATTTTCTATAAAAGCTATGTATTTTTCAAAACTTCAACATTCATTAACTAGAACAAAATTGAGTTTAAAAATACTTTATTTTGTGTTCTCATTTACATATTCTCTTTGCTTTTATATCATACTTCATACATATAGATTTGTAGTTATTTTGCTTTAACTGCATTTGAAATTTATAATAGCCACTCTGCAAACTTAGTTGTCAATAAGGAAGCACTGGTATTTAAAATCATATGCAAGTATCTTAAGTTAAATCCAAGAGTTCTGTGTGTTTTATTCTTGAGAATGCTTTTCATTTTAATCATTTACTAACAAACTGTATGAAATATTTTCTCTTTTCAGGTTATTTTGGAGGGATTGGCTCTGTTGATACGTTGTGTTGTAATGGCTTCATTAACAGTTTATTTTCCACAACGTCCTCTGACCATTTTTTCTATTGGACAGGTAATTTGTTAGAAATTTGTGCCTGATAATTCATGTGCTCAACAAACAAATTCTATGTTTTTGTCTCAGATTATTTCAGGTATTCAAGAACCACTAGTTTGGCTACTTTGAAAAACTAATTATAGAATTTTAGCTCATAAATACTCAGTACCTATTACTATGTTAGATTTGATATGTTGGGATAAGTAATATTTGAAATGATTTTTCTTTCGTAGCTGACACATTGTTTCAACTTTTATATAGTATTTTTGTTAATTGTGATCTACCAGAGATTCAGTATTATTTATATATGCATAACAATGTACTTAATAGCAATGAAGTAAAAGCAAAACATATTTTATTTGTTAATTGAATACTGAATACCTAGACTTGTTCACAAATCTGATCAGCTATCTATGAAAAGGATTAGATATAACAGTTGTTAGTGATGTGTTTGTATGCCATGTAGTGCAACTTGTAACAGTTAAATGGTTAAAGGTTCCCATGCTTCCTAGAAAGTCCTGGCAAATTGTTAAAACTTTTGAAAGACCCTGGAAACTTAAAATAGGCCCTACTGTGATTGCTATGTATGGTAACAATGTGAGTATCACACAAACATCATCAGAAATCTGAGACACTTACTTACAGTGTCTATGCTTTCTCACTTGGCTTGAGCTTTCAACTACAGGTCTAACTTTAGACCTCAATTGTTGCATCATGAAGTTTTCTACCTAGTTGACAGTTTGTTATTTCACCAGGGCTTTCAATTAGCAGGAACCTGGGAGCTAATGGCCCTTCAAAATCCTGGAAGGCCTCTAAAATTTGTCTGTTAGGTACATGTAAAATTCCTTGGTAGATATTTTGGTTTGAAAAATTTCAGGACCAGAAGGGGCCTGAAAGGTAACCAGAGGCAGTCAGAAACTGTAATTTTCTATTTGCCCGCTTGCAAAAACAAGGCTGCAAAGAAAGTAAGTTTTAAGATTTTTGAGTGCTTTGATAAAATAATGAGTAGCTTAATGTTGTTGAAGCATGTGAGACTGATTCACAAGCATGGTTGGTGAATAAGGTGAACAAAAAAGTTGATACCTCATAATAAATATCAGGAGCTGGAGCCAGGAAACAGGAAGTTTGTTGAAAGAAAGAGAGGTTGATACTGAAACTGAAGAAGGTTGCTCACTGTATATGAAGGCTTGAATATAAAAGGTGGCTGTTGATGTTGATGAAGCAGGCTGCAGGTGTGAAGATTGAAGGAACCAAGACCGTACCAAGGATATCTAGTTCAAAGTTAATAATAACAGTAATAATTAGGATCTGAAGCAATTGGTTAATTAATTCTTGATAAGGGATGAATACATCTAAAACTAGCAAAGATAGTAACATTTAAATGGACTTTGATTTATTAAAATTGATCGTAAAATATTAAATAGCTTTGGTTGAATTAATACATAAAAATGAAATTTAAATTTTTAATAGAGAATATGAAGTGGAGTGGTACTTCTCAGGGTGGGGATCTTAAGACCCAATGAAAATACTTTTGCTGTGGGAGAAAAACAGGAGTACCCCAAGAACATCCACTTTCACTGGTCAGGCGTCGAATATTCTACTTGATCAGTGCCTGAATTGTTAAGGGTTAATTGAAGATTACGAAGCTTTTTCCTGCTTTTAGTAATTTTCATGAGAAAAAAGTTATATAGCTTGGGATTTGGATGGATTGAGGGCTACAAGCCACTTGTTACACCAATATGATACTGCATTGAGTGATATTTGGACCTTAAATGTTGCATATTGAAATGCAAGTGTATGATTTAAGGAAGGGAACGGAATATCATTGTCAAAATCGGCTTTGAATGTGAAGGCCTGGAGGTTGCATTATTGATCTTAACTTTAGCTGCTGTGTTGGTAAGAAAGCTGGATATCAAGTGTACAATAGGGATGGGTATGTGACTATCAATTAGTCTATAGCGAAGTCCATTGTGCCATACTGAATCAAAGGCTTTTTGGACATCTAGAAAGGTAGCTATGGTTGTATGCTTTCTGTTGAAACCAAGATAAATGGTTTTGGTAAGTCTAATGAGGTGGTCAGTGGTTTGTCTACATTTTTTTGCCTGAATTTTGTATGTTGTTAATAATATTGTTGGTTTCTAGGTAAGCATTTAACCAACCAGTTCATGATTAATTTCTTCATCAACTTACCAAGGGTGTTTAGCAAGCTAATGGATCTGTAGCTGTTGGGATTAGTTATTATTTTTCTTTGGGTTTACCTTAAGAATAGTTGATTTCCAAATAGATAATATCCTGATAGTAATGATAAAATATAAATTGTTACTTAGTGGGTTATGATTTTGTTGGATAGGTTTCCAGGATTCAGTCATTATTTCCATCCTCTCCTGGGGGATTTGCATTTTATTTTCGTAAGGTTAATTTTGATTTCTGCTAAAGTATAGGGGGGTATACAAATTGTTAGGACCAGAAATTTGTGATGTAGAAACCAGGAAGTTTGGTGAAAAAAAAAGTGTTGATTATTAAAAATGTGTTGATTTACATTGTTGAAATCTTGTATGTTAAACTAGGTGAAATTTGGGGTTACAAAGGTACTTTCAAAATATTGGGCAAAAGTTTAGACTGTTTGTTATTGATAGTGGCAGTGTTGTTGTTATTATATTGAATTTTATTTATAGTGTTGTTTTATTTGTTGTTTGAGATAGATTTAAATTTCCACCAGAATTTGAAAGGGTCGGGTTAGGATTTATCTAGAGATAGGCAGAAGTTTTTCCAGTTATCATGTTGTTATTGTAATATAAGTTTCTTGGCACTAATGAGTGATTTAAGAGTAATGTCATGGGTTCATATGAAGTTGTGTCTGAGTCATCAGAATGTAATTATTAATTCATTAATTTTGGGAGTAAGTTTCCAGGACTTGTTGCTTTGCTAAGGATTGTTTCTTTGATGGCTTGGGTTATGGCATTGATTATGTCAGATTATGGATTTTGGTTTTGTTGTTCACGGCTGCAATGTGCCTTGTTTAAAGGCTAGGCAGTTCAGGACTCTGTGACTTGTGAAATTGACACATCTGAGCATCTGGGAAACATTCTAAATAGTGAACATGAATGAAAAAGGAAATACACCTGTGGAAAGAAATGTTACTGCCCTATTGATGATGGGCTACCATGCGTTAGAAGTGCTTTATGCAAAGTAGGAATTCCATGCATAAAGCTTGGAGAGTCTAGTCTCATTTGGAAGCTTGCAAACCTTGAAAATATTTAAGTTGGATGGAAATATGGTTTTCAGTTCCTGCAGGTAGTCTTGGGTGTTTTATCTACCACGAACCAAGCAAAAAGCAACATAAGTGCATTGATATTTGGTGAGGGTGCTCTGCTTCACCCTTAAATGCCATGATAATTTTAAGTAGTGGCATGGATTTGGGCTGCTTTAAGCTGCATTTACATCCAGGAGTAGCACTTTTTCTTCATTTTGTTGAAACAAAGACTTGTTGCTGCTTGTTACCTGGTAATTATGGAAAAGATAGCTGACCTCATAGCATGCTGTATGGTTGCATACTACTTTTGGTGCACTGCCTGACTTTATATTTTTCAAGGATTTTCTAAGTGATTTATCTATTGGCATTTATCACTTCAAACAGGTGGTCCTATACTGAGGGACATCTCTCAGACACTGCCAGTTACATCATCCTGTTTTATCATAGGATGGCAACAATATGCTATGGATCACATGTCAAAAGTCTATTCCCTATACATCTCCTATAATGTAGCATCAGATAGTCACACAATGTGTGGCTGTACAAACATTCAAGATTTAAATATATTAAAAATAGAAATAATTCTGAAGCATTGTTATTATTTACCACTCCAAGCAAAATATATCACATTAAGAAATTTACTAAATGTTACCTAATAAAACAAGTTTGGGTTTCAATGAATATTTGTACAAAAGTGATATCAGATACAATAAATTGCTTGTGATATTTTACATCCTTACCCTGTTATGATTCATAGAATGGCAACTACAAGCAATTAGAGTATTTTTCTCATATTAATTACTTTTCAAATAGTTACAGAAAAAATGCAATAGATTTGTTAACAAGTCAAATAACATATAACTCATATGGTTATAAGATTTGTGCCATCATATTTCATCATGGCACCCTATACAACAGAATGATTAGGTGAAACATCAGCATGTGTTGCTTATGCAATAACAAACTTTGACTTCATCTAATCTGACCAACACCTCCAATGAACCTACATAGTTGTCCTTTAGTCGTGCCCATCGTTCTCACCATCACAATCCTAGCCTTATTTAGCTGCATTATGTGGTTTTGGTGTTGGTGAAATATACGACTTATGAAACAGATCCAACTAGAGCAAAGCATTATATTGCTAAACAACACTGACAGTACTATAAGTTGACATCGTAGTTTATTTTTTAGCTCATTACTTTCCTTTTCTTTTCTAGCTGTTATCATCTATTGTTTATGTGTTCTCATATTACATCTACTTCATGTATCACTTTTCTGTATCACGAACTCAACACATTATAGTATTTCCTTTCACCAGTGTGAAGGATATGCTTCCAAGAAGAATTAAGGATAAGGTAATGAGGTAAATTTTTCATTTCAGCCATTTTTTGAGTATTGTTTATCAGTAATCAGAATTATAATCTTATACATTCCTGGTTTTATTCTAACTTACAGACAGGAAAGTTAATTTAAAAGTTGCCTAACATTTTACTGGTTAACACTTATGGGTATTGCCATACAATAATGTATTGTTTTGGTTTCTTGTATCCAAAATACCACTTGTAACTTTAAAAATGGATTGCAAGATGAAAAAAAAAAGTTTTAAAGACAATGCAATAAAGTCCTAAGATTATACTATTTCACTCAAAAGGAATTATAGATCTATCTAGTATTGCTTGTGAAATCAGCCAATGAGATATCACCAAACTTAAAATCAGATTTAAGAAATTTCTGAAGCAGTAGGAAGACATTAAAAGCACAGTGTCTTTTGATTATTATTGGAAATGATTTAAAGAAAATAGCAAAAACTATGAAAAAGTAGCTACTTTTGGTATTACTTCAGCTCACATACATAGCTATTCTCGTTCAGTGCTGTCCTCTATTTGCAAAAATTATTTCGCATGCCACAAGCCTTTCACTTCCATGCACCCTCTCAATTCACATGGTTTAACTGATTCTCACATGCAAATTATTATGTGAGAAACCTCTACCAATAGTAGTGTGACACACCCACATTGACTCATGTGACTCCTTCTGTGTTGTTCTACCTAACTAAGTTAAATCCAGACAAGAGGAAGAAAGTGAATTAAAGTACACTGGACTGCCAGAAGTGCCAGGGTGTTAACAGGGGAAGGAAATGGTAATGTGGGGGAGATGTTAAACCTCCAATGCATATAGTTGAAGAGGGAAGGAGGAAAGTTAAGAGGAGAAGCCAAAGGAACCCTACCATGGGTCGTGCAGCATCTCCTGAAAAGATGGCAAATGTGCCAGACCCAAAGGGAGAAGTGGTTCCATAAAAGCCACATCCCCCAATGAGTTAGAACCTTGCTGGCAGTAAGAAAATTAACCATAATGGTGTGGATAACAGAAAGCTTCAATGAATGCATTCGAGGAGGAGAATAAATTGTTCTGACGTAGGTGGGTGTGTAAAAAGACACTCCCCAAATAGACGATTGTTAGATAGGTAACAGGAAATCCATCTGATAGAAGATATAACCTCCAAAGTGCTAAGTTAGAATTCAGAATTCATAATGAATGACTAAATACAACTGTGTTGGCAGAAAGAAATAAAAAGTATACAAATTTTGTAATAAAGTATTAAGTTCTATAACTGGGTAGAAATATAAAATAATTCCACTTCAGAATAAGTTACAAATATCACTATTGTATAATAAATAGTAAACTTGTTGAGAGAAATTGCTACAAAGATAAAAAAAAAGCATCGAAGAGACCATAAACTACACGTCTGCGAAACGAGAAGTGCGAGTTTAAAAAGGGAGCTCTACTGTCTACCACAATGGGAATAAGAACGAATGTTCCCTTGGTGATTGAAATAAGCCACCACCATCAAATAGTCAGAATGAAACATTTCCAGAACAAAAAGAACATATGAAGCTGAAACAGCCAAGAAAACCAGATCTCTGCTGGCCAGAAAGGATCAATCAGAAAGACCTGACCCAGAGCAACATGGATGATCAAAATCACCTCGAGAAGACCGACAGAATAAGAAAACTAAAATTGGATCTAATCCTGTCTGAATGTATTGACAGTGAGAGTGAGTGGATGATAAACACGAGACCAAACACAAATGAGGTAACTTGGAATCAAGAAATGAGTCAAATGCTTTTAATGGAGGAGTACCCCACAAGAGGCAGAACCACTGAAAATTTGAGGACTGAGAGGCCACTCCTTGGGAGAAAGTGTGTCAAGACTGAGGATGAAGCCATCTGGAACAGGACACACCAGGAGATGTTATGTCAAATGTGTTTGATTTTACTAACCTCCACTTTGGGGGCTTGTGGAATATTCTTTTTGTCAGTTTGTTTCTTTTCTTCTTCCACCTTTATTCTTGGTTGGTTCTAGAAGATTTTCTCTTTTCCATACATGCTCTGGTTGCTTCATTGCTTTTAAGGCTTTTTCCCATTGACTCCATTTCGAACAGTTTCAATCTATTGCACCACCTCTCTGTTTGTGATGTTTTCCCCTTCCTCCCTTACCATTGGGTTTGGCTTATGATTCAGTAGGCCTTTCATTCCTTGTCTCCTTCTTCCTGTAATCAATTCTTGGTTTCTTCATTCCGATCAGGCACCTTACCTTTTACCTGCCTCTCAACCCCATCTTCCATCGGAGGTAATTCATCTGACGAGCACTGGGACTACACCTCATATGTTCATCTCCAATTATCTACTTTGGGTAGCTGTTTCTTTCTCATCCAGGTACCTTCTCCCGATATCACCAACCTTTGCTCTTTGGTGAGGACTGTAACTGCGTAAGTTTTCTTTCCATTTGTTATATATATATTATTTTTCAGGGACCTGTCCCAAGTTTTGACCAGGATCCAACTCTGGCGAGCAGTGCCTGTCCAGGCATACTTTGATCACTAAGAATTGTACTGAAACTTGCACCGTAAAGCCATATTGACTTCATTTTCATAATTTCCATAGCCACAAAATGCACATTGTTCTTTAAAATCACATGAACTAGAAATGGAGTGTTCCACAAGATTACTCATAGGTTGTTCCTCGTGGTATATTTGCTTTATAAATATGCCTATTCTGGACCATACTAACCCATGGGCTTTGTGGGGAAAGCAGGAGGGGATTGCTATCCACCTGCCATTCTTTAGATTGAATAAATAGAACTTAGTCTGCTTTTCAAAATAAGGTTTCGTGGTCACCCATTACACTGTCTCCCTGTTTCTTCCATTGAATTGAGAGAGTCCTTACTACTTTCCAGTTCCACGCTGCTGGGGTGGTGGACCATGGAGGTATTCTCCTGAATGAGAGGTATACAATATAAACCATCAAGATTCCATTCAGTTGAGAGTAGGGCAGTGGTGTTCTGCTGGTTCAGATGACAAGATGTCCTCCAAATGGATGATCCATCTCTACACAGGTTTGTCCATAGGGATGTTGCAGCTTTGGGGTGCACCATCATAATAAGTGGGATCCCACATGGATGTCAGTTCCTGGAAGTTGAGTTTTGGATTTAGAGCTGAACCAATCAGTATCATGTCCCCACATGCCACATGTGTAGTGCGATTGGGATCCCCCTCCCATGGATGTCGGTTCCCTGAGGTTGAGTTTTGGATTGTAATTGACTTGCAGATGGTCTGATCCTCATCCTCTCCCAGCATAGATGACGGTCGCATGTGGTTGAATTTTGGATGCACTTGATCTGTGTACGGTACATCTCTCCCTAGCCACTTACCACCTTAGGGCACATCAGGGAGATTGAAATTCTAATATATTGTGGTTAGGATCAATGTCCAACCATTTTCTCTCTCATTGGGTGATGCTCCTCATAATTTTCTGCACGGATCTGTCACACCTTTTACATATATGGGTGAAGTGTATACCTCTTATTAGAGGGTGTGCTTTGAACTCTTTTGAAGGATGCTTCTACTTTGTCCCTTGCACTGGTTGCTCCACCTATTCAATGTGGGATTCTAGCTAAGTATGTGAGCGGAAGTTATAATTTTCCTGTATTGAAAATGTATTTCCGACTGGTAATTACTTCCACTCACACTTCCCTCCCTTCCTCTCCACTGTCAACTGGTGCTTACATTTCTGCCTAAACTAAAAAAGATAGTTATGTAGAATAACATAGAGGGAGTCACGTGGGTGTGTGGCACTACTAATGGTGGTGGTTTGTCACATGATATTTTGCACGTGAGAATCAGTTAAACCTTGTGAATTAAGGAATGCATAGGAATGAAAGGCTCGTGGCATGCAAAAATATTTTTGCAAATAGAGGGCAGCACTATATATATGAGCTGAAGTAAGTATCTGTAGGAAATACATTTTCAGTGTAGGAAAATTATAAATTTGGAAGTAATGTATGTATATATAGGTGTCTCTGTGTGTGTATATATATATAATCTGTGGGTTTGTTTAAGGTGATGGACAATGAAGAATAAAATTCAACTGAATGTTTTATTAACTGATGCTAAACATTCGATTTTAGAAATGCACATTCTCACTTAACTGTTTAGTTGAATTATTGATTTAAATTTTCCTAAATCAAAATAAAGTTTATAATGTGCATTAGTATATTTTATCTGTAACTACAGTAACAGAAATTTACTGCTCAATCCCTAGCCTTTCCTTGATTGGACGTTAGCCAACCTTACTTGGAGTTTTCTAAAACAAACAGTAATGAAGCAGTTTCTCACAGAAGGTACATCAAAAATCAAATTTCTAACCATCTATAACTTATTTTAAGTATTTTTGGGATGACCTTTTATATAATTTGGAATTCAAATGGTAGAACAGTTTGAGGAAAATGAAATATTATATGTAATGAGACAATATTTTTATTGTATTGGCCTGAGCAGCAGTTAAAACTGTGAAAGCACTACCCCTATGTTATTAATTATTAACTTATGATGTCAGGAAAACAAGTAGTGTCAAGAAGTCTTAATATAAGATGATAAAAACCCTATAACCCAAGTGCTTTAGAACAGACCTTTCTTCAGGGGCAAACATTTTATTAATTATTAATAAACTGAAAGTTCAGGCAACACGTGATCGACTTCCTTTTATATATTTTTACTAATTCCCACAAAATGTAATCATCTTTAGAACTGAAAAAACAATTTTTGGGACAAATCATCTTAAGACAGGTTGCTCTTAACCTCTAGGTTGAGCATCTTTTTATACTTTTGAAAATATGTTGAATATTGAAGGTTAAATATATTTTTTATAGTATTACTAGATCTTGTGAAACATTATTTTAAGCTTTTGGTATTTTGGTTAACTTTTGTGACAAATTATGAAGGTACATGGTTCATAATTTTTAAATTTTTTCAAACTTGTAAATCAGATGTCACAGAACAAAACATATTATTAGAGCTTTAGTAACAAACTAAATGTAAGGATAGATGATATCAATCCTTCAAAAACAGTGCAAACAAGATAGTAGGGATGGCATTTGCATCATCCCTACATAAAAGCACAGGCACACAGTGTAATAGAATGTTAACAGACAAAAAATAGGATACATTAAACTCAATTGTGATTGAATAGTTATATATAGATATTGCTCTATGCTAATTTCCTATATGATCTTACCTCTATCACACAAAGCTATCTTGTTTTTCTTTCTGCTCTCTAAGCATTGCCGAAAAAATTTTCATGCTCAGCGTACCAGTCTATGTGCCACTATTGAACATGTACATAGCATGTGACTACTCTCCACCATTAGTATTGCACCACTTATATTGGTGCAGCTAGCTCCCTCTGCTATTCCCATTCAGTCCTCACTTTCTCGAATGGCACAGTATTATATAGACGTGTGTTTTTTTGCATGTAGCTCCCATTTATGATTATTATTCTTTGCCATTTCAAGTCATTTTTTTTTGTATTTATTTCTTGTTACTGAATTATTAGAGATCTTAGCTTGAATTTTCAATTCACTGTATCAACTATGGAAATTCCTGTTGCAGTCAAAAATGCTATGGCATGACTTCTCAGGAATCTGGTTCAACTTTATATGCAGAGAATGTACAGGCTTTAATTTGCAAGGAGCAAAAAAGAACCAGTCTATGTGGAATCCTCTTTGTAATACCGGGTTCGTGTTCAGGATGACACAGTCCTGTTTCTAAGGTTGTGGGCAGTAGAGGTCCCTCTTCTAGTTAATTCCAGTTGTGAAGAATTGTAAGTCGACAGATATAACAGTATGGTTCTGTGAAGAATTTTAAGTGGAACTATATAACAGTATGGTTCTGAGAATAATTATATGTTAACAGATATAACAGTATGGTTCTGTGAAGAATTGTAAGTGGACAGATAAAACAGATTGATTCTGTGAAGAATTGTAAGTGGACATATAAAACAGATTGGTTCTGTGAAGAATTGTAAGGGGACAGATATAACAGTATGGTTCTGTGAAGAATTTTAAGTAGAACGATATAACAGTATCGTTCTGAGAACAATTGTAAGTGGAGTGAGATAACAGTATGGTTCTGAGAACAATTGTAAGTGGAGTGAGATAACATTATGGTTCTTAGCAGAATTGTAAGTGGAAAGATATAACAGTATGGTTCTGTGAAGAATTGTAAGGTGACAGATATAACAGTATGGTTCTGTGAAGAATTTTAAGTGGAACTATATAACAGTATGGTTCTGAGAATAATTATATGTGGAACTATATAACAGTATGGTTCTGAGAATAATTTTAAGTGGAACTATATAACAGTATGGTTCTGAGAATAATTATATGTGGAACTATATAACAGTATGGTTCTGAGAATAATTATATGTTGACAGATATAACAGTATGGTTCTGTGAAGAATTGTAAGTGGAACTATATAACAGTATGGTTCTGAGAATAATTATATGTGGAACTATATAACAGTATGGTTCTGAGAATAATTAGATGTTGACAGATATAACAGTATGGTTCTGAGAATAATTATATGTGGAACTATATAACAGTATGGTTCTGAGAATAATTAGATGTTGACAGATATAACAGCATGGTTCTGTGAAGAAATGTAAGAGGACAGATATAACAGAATATTTGTGTGAAGAATTGTTCAGGTTGTTGTACTTCTTGCTCCTACAGTGGTTTTGGGATTTTGTCCAGTTTCGGGCCAACTGCTACTGGTAATTCTGGTTGCTTGACGTATGACACACTGTTTAATTTTTGTGAGAAAGCAAACTTCAAGGGGGTAATGATAACATTGTTTACACTAGAATTATGATTTTTTTATATTACTATTTGTTATTAATTGCTTGACACAAATGTTTTGGTTTTTGAGTTAGCATGTAATAAAAAAAGAAGCATAAGAAAGAAGAACAAGAAATTCAAACATTTTGCAATGATATATATACAGACATCCTCAGAACTTGACTCAGTCAATACATAGATATTAATATAGAAGGAAACACTGTATAGTATTGTAAAGTTCTGATGATGTCTTGAGGAGATATGTAAAATACCATTTCAATGAATAAACCGGGCCATCCCTACATAGGCAGTGCTACCTCCTGCCTGATAAGTTTAACCAAAGTTAGACTGAATCTGTTATCAACAGCATTAAAACTGTATTTTTCTAGAGAATTAATCCCATCTTTTTAGTTAGGATTCTTTTTCTTAGTGATTACTTTATAAACTCTTACCTTTGCTGACATGGAGAGGTTATAATTAATTTTATATTTCAAAATTTGGTTCTTCTATTTCTGTTGGCAGAAGTGTGATGACTGGAAACCTAATTCATCATTATTTCTGTGTATGCAGTTAAAAATATAAATACTTGAGGGAACTTAAATTGCCATAATTTTTATATTGTAGATACATTTTATGCAAAATAAAGTTTGAATTGTATATTTTTTCTTTCATATATTATTGCTCCCCAGTGACACAGCAATAAGTCTGCAGACTTATAATGCTAGAAACTGAGTTTTGATACCCATGGTGGGCACAGCACAGATGGCTCTTGTGTAGCTTTGTGCTTAATAACATACAAACAAACAAACCTATATTAATATTTTGTAGCATACTCTTTTATAAATTTTTGTTAAAAAATAAATTCAAGGCAAAAATTTGTAAAAACGTGTGGAAAATTTTATCAGTGTAATCTTCGGTGTTTTTCTTGCATTATACTTGTAACTGATTCCTATGAGTGAGTATGTGTAAAAGTTTTAATTTTTGAGACAAGTTTTGAAGTCCTATTTGAGGTAGTGTTGTGGCCTAGTAGTTGACATGCCAGAAGGTTCTAAAGGTTTGAGCCATGATATGACCCTGAAAAAAATCTGCTCTTTCCTCCTAATTGTGACAGTTAATCCCAATTTGTTTAAGATTAGCACATAGGTGTCAGATGTTGTTGACTGGTTGGCCTCCTGCCTAGCAGGAAAAAATCAGGGATGGTCTCTGACCTGGTCATTTACCTCGTGTGTTGCATAAGGGGCTTGCAGAGTGAAAATATTTTTATTTAATTTGTATTTCATAAGTAACTTACATGAATATTTATTAATTTAAGTATTATTTTCATTTCATGCTAGGCATTACTCTTTCAGTAATAGAGATTCTTTGAAAATTTAAGATATATGTTTAATAACTAAACTTGTTTTGCAGTTGTAGTGTTTCCTTGGGGTTTCATTATGTACATTCTAGTACGTATTTTAGATGCAAAATCTATTTAAAAACTTATAGCATTGTTGTCATGTTTTAGGTGAACGTTATGTGATGACTCTTTTCAATGTTCTCAGTTTTGCAGAACAAGGTAGGATGTAATTTTATTTATTTTATTCAAGAAAATTTTATTTCTGTTACGTATGGCTTTTATTCTTTTTTCTTTTTTATAACTTCTATTGTTTGTTGCTTAGACTTGTACACCTGTAGATTTATTGATTCAGTTTACTATGTAATTCAATGCTTAGACTTATAAAGTGTAGATCAGTTTTTTCAATCATGTAGGTGTGACATGGCCTGGTGGTTAGGGTGCTTGATTTGTAATTTACAGTTTTTTTATTTGAATCCCTGGCACCCAATATACTCACCCTTTCATCTGTGGGGTGTTATAATGTGATGGTCAATCCCACTATTTGTTGGAAAAAGAGTAGCCCAAAAGTTGGCAGTTGGTGGTGTTGACCAGCTGCCTTTCTTCTAGTCTATCATTGCTGAATTAGGGATGGCTAACACAGATATCCCTTGAGTAGCTTTTTGAAAAATTCAAAACAAGCATATTCCATTATTCATTGTTTAGTCTACTTGTAATACCAGTAAACAACTTTGATAACATGTAATATTAAAAGTAAACTTACATTTTTATTGAAATTTTATTTAGTTTTTTATTATTTGATAATTATAATAAAAATAATATAATTTTGATAATTTTTTATTATTTTCTCCATAAGATGGAGAAAAATATATTCTTATGTTTATGATGTGGTAACCAACCTTAGAACCCAAACAGAAAAAAAAGTACACAAGTGTAGCTATAATTAAAAAAGTATATTTTAAATTTGTTTTATATATTATAATCACTGAGTTTTAATGAGACTAGTTATAAATATAATTGATTAAATTTGATAAACAATGTACATTAGGTACCTCTCCTAAGGATCATACCAGTATTCTATCACTGATTTCTTTGAACAGAGCCATAAGTATACATAAGTCTCTGTTATAGTTTTTCAACATATTTAAGTGCTCATGGTGTGGTAAACAAGCTTAATTTAGTCTTCTTTTGGTAATGCTATGGTCTCTTGAGCTGCTTCACTTCAAAAAGACTAGTTTACCAGTTCTTCAGAATGATGATCAAAAGTCAACTTAAGTAAAAAAAAATATTAGCAATATTAATACTAAACAATTGGTGTTAAAGTGAATAAATTTAAGTTAATAAAAATCCTAAACCTAATTCTAATGTGCATTGCTTCAAAACAATTGATAAAAATTAGTTTACCAACTTAAACTAGTTCATACTGAAACATTTGTTGTTCAAGCAGTTGATGATATAAACAGAATTTTGACCACTACTGTGCCTGTTTTATCCCAACTGATCTAATGAGCCCTGGTATTGGGAAAAAGGTATTGTCAACACTAAATATAATGGTATAGTGTGATTGATATATTATTACATTCTTTACTTTCATTCTTAAGTTCTTATAATTTGTAAGAACACCAATAAAAGAAGTGAAATTTACATTGTATTACTATGTTCTTAGGTGTCTATGATGTGGTAAACAACCTTGGTTCTCTTGCTGCTAGATTTATTTTCCAACCTATTGAAGAGAGTGGTTATCTGTTCTTTGCTCAAGTCATAAACAGAGATGTTGCAGTAGAAAAACAGGCAAAGGTGAGACCTTTGTTAAATGATCTGTGATGGTGTAGAAACAAATTGATAGGTTCTTTCTGTAACTGATAATTACTGGAACTTTAATTTTATTTTTCTGTTTTTATACAGGATTATTTTCATTATCTATCATTGAGAATATAATATTTTTATGATTTTTAATTTATTTTTTCAACTTGCAGATAACTCTTGGACTCGTATAATTACTACTCTGTTTTTAAGTAATATTTTCCTCAACTTTATTTATATTAAATAAATTGATAATCAACACAGATGTTTTTAATATATCCTAATAGTATGTTGGCTATGCAGTATTTTAATTTAGTGACCACTTTCCTATTGGAACATCTGATATTTTAATTTTCAGTTATTATAAAGCTAAATTTTAAAATAATTATTTCACTGTCTTGTACAGTGTTTGAAATGGCCAATAAATTAAAATATTAATTTCTATATGCTGCTCAATCCCATGCTACAATTACCTGAAACAGATGAGGCATCAACAGTGTTTATGCAGTTCTACTGTCATAATGGTGTAATAGTTGGTTGCTCACACACAAAAATTATCTTGATCAACTGGGAGCATGATTTATGTTTTGCATATCAAAGGTGCTTGCAAAAATCTATAACAGTGATTGTACTTCGGCATCTGTTAAGATTAATGACTTTACTAGGATTAACTGTGGTGACTTTTGGACAATCATATTCTGATCTGTCTTACCTAACTAAAGTGGCACATGAAAGTAAGTTATAACAAGACAATTTATTTGTGGCAATGATGTTGTGCTATAGTCTATACTCTTATGAACTTCAAAACAAATTTCTGTACAAATATTTTTATTGAAACATTTCCATGAAAGTAAAGATTCTGATAAATCAGTTCTTTACAGTTTCAGACATTGTTATGTAGAAACTAAGAAAATTTTGGTTGGTTATTTCAGGATTATTGACTTTAAGTAGTTGTGATTGTTAGACTTAAACTATTGTATGTTATTTATTTTAACAACATTTCTGTAAATATTTTAATTTGTCTGATTATTAACAAGTTTTTTATTTTTTTATTTTCTACAGGATGATGTAATATTGAGTGCCATTGTACTTCGGCATCTGTTAAGATTAATGACCTTACTAGGATTAACTGTGGTGACTTTTGGACAATCATATTCTGATCTGCTGCTACTGATGTATGGAGGAAAATCTTTAGGGACTGGGCTAGGTGTGTCTGTGTTGTATGTTTATATGTTTATGATTGCATTTATTTTAATTTTTTTGCTTACATATTCTTTATATCACTTTCTTTAATTCCTAACTTAAAAGCTGAATTTAGATCTTTCAAAGAATAGACCAAAAGTTTTTGCAAAGCATTTGGAAATCTGATTAATTTATTTGAATGAACAAAACTTTAAAACCATTTTTGTCTCTTTGATTAGACATCAAATAAAACTAGATGGTTTTCTTAATAACTAGGTGTATGTTAATTGTTTGGATTATGTTAATTAAAACCTCTTGTAATTTATACAAAAACTAGGTAGTAAATGGGAAACCAGTTAAACATATAGATTGAAGTAGATGTAAATATGGTTGTGAACCCACCAGTCAGCTGAATGAGTTTTGACCTGAGCTACTTTTATTTACAATATTAAATCTATGAAAGTTAGAGCATTCTAATGTGTAAACTATATCTGTTGTTTGATAACTTCTTTTGAAAGTTTTTTATTTTCTAAGTTAAAAAAGTTTTATTTCAGGGTAAAGTGAAAAGTTTTGCTAATCTTCACCAATTCTTTTTAAAGCATTAAATAAACCAGGAATATGTTAAATGGCACAGGAAATCTACTGAAGAGATTTAAGAGCTCAACATGTCAATAAGTTCTGGGATAAATCTTTTATATTGGACAAGTGTTATTTTTACATGATCTTTTCCAGAATCAAACATTAAAACATTGTGTGGTGTACGATTCAGTTTTAATGTTTTCCAAAATCAAGCATTAAAACTGAATTGTACACCACACAAGCAGTTCTAACAAAGTTCTTAATAAGGACATTTTTGTTAAATGCTTACGCTTGACAACCAATCTGTATCTTTTTTTTTAGAATTTTTGTTGTTGTAAAAATGCATGTTTAAAAATTTCATGTCCTTAATTTCTTTAGGTGTGAGATATCTCTTTAATTATTAGATATGTGTCATGATAAAAATTTGATGTTTGCCAATTTTTAAGTTTTTTTATGTTTTATGCTTTAGTCAAGGCCTGTTCTTTGGGTTTCCATTTGTTAACAATATGATGTGAGTCAGCTAAATTACTTTTTGTGAATTCTACAAAATGTTTAAAGGCAATATCATTTTGGATGTGATTTGATATTTTTGAAAATCATGTTAGACAATTTAACAAATAATTTTCTTTGATACAAGATTTCTATTTTTGTATAGAGACAAAAAATATATTATATACCATGTACTATAGAATCTTTTAAGTGTGTTTGGAAATCCCTATTTCTATATCTTCACCTCTCATGTACAAGGTGAATGCTCTACCAACTGAGCTAACGAACCCACTAGTGAATGTTAGTAATGCCCTTTTTAATGATTTATACTACTACATGTGAACATATGAAATACAGTGTGATAAAATTCTATGAGTGGAATTTGTGATAAAAAAGATGGTGTTAATGCTTTTTAAAAACTTGAGTCTCCTCAGGTAAATAATTGTTGCTCTTGATAATGACATACTTGTGTGTTGGAACTAGTTTGGAAAACTCTTTACAGCAAACAAACTAAGATTAGATCATCTTTTGTACATAATCATTCAGGTTTCCATTTTTGAAGCATAAAATTTACTTCAGGTTACAGAGGTTGAGTATGTCTGGTCATGCTATATCTGATGGATGTGTATCTTGACAGTCAGTAGCCCTGTAACATACTTTCCACTATAAAATGCTTTGTCATAAAAATGTCATGTTCAAAGCACACCACTCTCTTGATTGGTTTCCATGATCTATCTAGTGTATTAGGTAGGTGCTGTATCTAGTAGCAACTTGATTAGTATGTCTTTGTATGGGATAGTAGGAGTACTCATTTCATTCTCCAGCTGCTTAAAGTATGTGATGACTGAATGTATTCATCCTAGAAGTAATTTGTTTGCATGTGACTTATATCACTTTTCCAGACAGAGATCATTCTTCATTATGTTGTGTACTGTTAGTTAGGGTACATGGATGGCTGCCCTTTCTGTTTGTGGATTCTCACCTGTTACAAAACACCAAGACTGGAATATGTCTTGTTACAGGTTTCTGGATATTTCTTGTGCCAGAAGTTGATCCATATTCCTTTATTTCTTAATGCTATTAAGTACAAGGGATATCTTCATATTGGAAATTCTAAATCTATGAATTGAATATATTTTTATGATCTAAGGGTATGAATATTTTGAATAAGAAATGATTGTTACGTACCTTTTCCAAAACCTTTATACTTTTCAGTGGCATCACACTACATAAGAACTACCAAATAGTATTAAAATGTCGTTCTGATACATGCCATTCCACTCTCACTTTAATCACCTGTGGTTTTTATGTGGCTTGCTAATTTTAATACTTAGAACAATTTTTATATAATATACTCAACACTCTCTGTTTAATGTGGGTGTGGTGATAGCTGTAGATCATATTTAAATGCTTACATTTTCAAAAGGCTTAATTTTTATTACTAAAGAAACTTGAGTTTAATGGAATGTGTGTGTAACCAAATCAAAAATGTTTTTATGGGAAGTCTTTTTGTTGTTATTCTTCTTAATATTTTTTATGAATGATTTAGACAAAGTTTCTAACTATGTAAATTACAATTTGTTTTTCATGTTTCTTATCTAAATGAAACATTTAGAAGGTTTTATATTTGTGAAGATTGAGCAGTTTAATTTTTCTTTGAACTCTTTTCATCCCTGTATTAAATTTGCTAAAGAAGAAGAAACTAATGGCATATTGGCATGTTAAAAGTTCTTGAAAAACAAAATTAATGAGATCTGTGTAACAAGTATGTGTAAAAGACATGCATGTATATCAATTATATGGCAGCCTATAATGTTTCTATGAAAGTGGTCTGTGTTAAGAATCTTGTTAAAATTGCCTTAGTGTTGTATATAATTTTACTATAAATTTCTATTTTGAAAAAATGTAATGAGAACAGCACTTATACAATATAATATATTTCTCCCAGAACTTGTTAAGACATCTAGAGCTTTCAAAGATTTCCAGTAATGTGACTAATGGTATTAAACAGGTTGTGTCTTGTGTTATTCCACATATTTCAGGTTCATGTGTAGCTTTAAAAAGAACTTGGAAAAATGTAAGTAAAAATTTAATTATTTTATCTGGAAAAAATTTAAATGGAGTCAAGAATAGTGTTTTTGGGGAACTAAGTGTAAGTTGAATATTTTTTAAACAAATATAGCTATTCCACATTTCATGCACAGAGAGTAAATTGCACTTTATATGAAGGGCTTGTATATATTAGTATAGTTGTATGTTGCTGCAGGTGCAAGGTGTGTTGCTAGAGGCAACATTTTTAGCATCCACATGTTTCACTTATGGTTAATTCCCAACCATTAGATATTAAATTTCCACCATGGTTATATTTATAGCAGGAGAGCATTTCACAGCCTTTACAAAGGTGAGGATATTCATATAATGGTATTGGTAAATGATGTAGAACCAAAGGACACAACATTTTGAAGAAGGAAGACTTCAATGATCACTATGGAAATCTGACTCTCAAGTGGAAGAGTATTTAGGACAACATTGAGTTGTGAAACCTCAGTCCAGGCCAATTCACAGTAGAACTGGGCAATTAACTTAATGAATCAATATAATCAATTACCTATTAACACAGGTTATGTTGATTAAAGTCACATAAAATAATCAATTAATTGTAATTTTGATTAAATCAATTAATTGTAATTTTGATTAAATCAATTAATTGTAATTTTGATTAAATCAATTAATGTTATAAAAATACTTAACTAACTGAAATGTTTGTTCCTGATTATTACTGTTTTTGATTATTCCTGCTCTCCAACTAATGAAAATATTGCTATCATTATTATTTTAGATTAGTTCAAGGTTTTTCAGATAAATTCATTAGTGTGACGACTCATCTAATTGAAATTAAGGTTTCTGGTTATCACCATTTTTGATTATTCTAATTATAAACATCTCACATGAGAATACTTGATTAGCAAGTTGCAATAATTACCCATCTCTTATCCAGAGAAATGACTTTGTTCAGAAAGTGAAGGTTTTAAAATAGAAGTCTCCAACCAAAAAAGACATTGCCTAGAAGGTGGTCATATCTTCTAGTATCATTCATACATTAATGACAAGGTTTTGAAGTTAACAAAGGTTCACAAGCTTACAGCCACACCTTACAATCAATTAGTCAATCAATGGCTATTTTCAGGAAGTAAATGGCCAGAGAAATTCCATTCACCCACATGCCTGTCAAGTCCTCTGATGGACTTTTTTTTTTGCCTTTGGTTTGGTTAATGTTGATTTTGAAAAATGATATTCATGTGCAGTGGAGAACTGTGGAAAGTGTTTCAAGATGTGTGGTCTAAGATTGGTCTCACTGTCTTTTGCGGAAGCTCATTACAATGGAAACATTGGTGTTGTGCAGCAGTATATAATCATGATGATCACCTGAAGTACAATAAATATTAAAGGAAGCACTTCCAAGGGCAGCATAAGGCCTAGAGCATCATATTTATAAAGTACAATTAATCTCATTATTCCAACACTTCCATGTCGATGGTCATAATGAAAAATGTAAGTTTTGGTTTTCGATGAAAAAAGAAATACATAGGTAAAAGTAAATAAGCTATTTTAGTTAAACAGTTAAGACCAACAATAAATAGAATGACATGGGTTAATTAGCTGATTTGTAGGGTGTTCTTGATCAACTGAAGATAATAAATAGTGTAATGTAATGTTTTTAAAGTGCTTTATTGTAATATCTTTTTCAGTAGTGTTTTATTTAATAGTTTGGTATGGTGAGTGCTGTAACTTTCACTAATGTACAATCACTAAAATGTTGGGATGAACACAAATTCTTGTTCATTTGAGATTATAAATATGTTTTGTTCTATTGGTGGCCACAGTGACCTTTAAGTGCTACGATATGTCACAATGAATGCCATGTGATATAGGGATGTTTCACATGCATGTACAGTTGGTCAGAACTTTCTTCTAACAGATGATAACAAGACCCTTCTACCATGCCTAACTGATTAGCAACTTCCTAGAGTACTTATCAGATTTGAATCAAATTGAACTTGTATGTGATGCTCTTGGAAGAAGTTTAGCAGGAAGAGATTCATACCCAAATAGTGTTGATGAACTGGAAGTACTTCTGATGGATGAGTTGGTTATATTACCCTAACAGCTCATTGATTCACACATTTTAAGCATACCATGCCAGATCACATGGCTGGTCACTTGACACTTGGTTTGCATGGAAATTTACTCGGAGGGGTTATTTACAGTATTTCATAACAGTAGTTGTGCCTTGTCAAACTTTAAAATGGAAAACTTCAGTTATCCCTTAGATGTTTTAATTAGTGTTCTTTTCTTTTGTAAAGACATTTCTTATAGAATTCTATTTTCTGTTAACTCTGTGGAAACATTTTTATTCATGTAGGTCCTTTCTTGTTGAAGTGGCACTGTGTCTATGTTGTGTTTTTGGCTGTCAATGGAGTGACCGAGTGCTTTGTATTTGCAGTTATGAAAAAAGGAGAAATAGATAAGTAAGTAATAGTATTTTACAAAATATATGTTGAAAATCTTTAAAGAAACTTCATGAAAAATATGCTTAATACACCTATGTCATGGTGAAATAATTTTAACCTTTTTTAAATGTTTCACTAAATTTGTTATGTCCAATCATTTAAATAGTTTTAAGTTATAGCTTTCATTAAACAGATATTGACATATGTTTATCTGTTTTCAGATACAACCAGAAGATGGTACTTGTCTCACTGCTCTTCCTGCTAGCTTCATTCTATCTGACTAAACATTTTGGAAGTGTTGGGTTTATTCTTGCTAATTGCATAAATATGGGAGCCCGAATTGGACACAGGTTAGAGGGTAGTTTTAGACATATGCTTTGAATCTCAATAATTACTATTTCCAATAAGTACTTCCGATTTACCTATATATTAATTTTGGAAACAATTGTTAAAATACATATATTATATAACATTAAGTATGTGTTAAAGCTCAGAATTTAACATTTTAAAAAATTAATAGGATAATCTTTTGTCAAATATTTATTTGACAAACAATATACATAAATTAATGTTTGGGGTGAGTGTGGTATTTTGTTGAATACTAGATGAATAAATCACATATGAGAGGACCTGTGAATGACAAAAAAAACTTTCTTTAAAAATAAAACTTCTTTTTTTTTTACACAAGAATCAGAATCTAACTTTATCACATTGTGTGTGAAAAGGTTGAGTACATTATATTAAAACAATTTTGGAACCTTACCGCATCATTATAGTCCATGTTACCATGACCAGTCATGCACTATCTAACAAATATGTATCTGGACAATAGCCCTGTAGCATAGTTTCCATTTCAAATAGCTCAAACCTAAGGCTGTGATGTTCAAAGCACACCACTCCTCCCTGATATCTTTCAATGGTCCATCTAGTTTACAAGGATAATGGTTTCCCAGTACCTGTTCCAGTAGTCCAGTTGCACAGAAATATGTAAGCACTACATTCAGAAACCTGACTAGTATGTCACCATATAAGATAGTATGAATATCCATTTCATCTCTAGCTGCATGATGTATTTAAAGGATGATTGGAAGCCATATGTTTAATTGCTAAGTCTACATCATTGAAACAAACTCATGTAGTGCAAAATATTTTTGTGCTAGCTATTTATTATTATATACAGTATCATAATTTTTTTCTTTGTAGCTTGTTTTTCATCAGAAAGTACTTCAAGGCTACCAGACTTGTTCCACTGGAGGGCTTAGTACCAAACCAGGCTGTTGTGGTTATGTTTTTTCTTGTCTTCTTGATTACACAAAGTTCTAAGGCAAGACTTTTTTGTTCCTTTTCAAGTCAGTTAATCATAATTAACAAGAGTTTAGTTAATTTTAGTAAAGTTTTATTATCTGTTGTGAATACATATTTTTTTATAGTGATGAGAGTCTACAAGTTGATCAAAAACGTACTTTAAAGTGAAAAAATAATTAACTGGCAATCATGAGAGTTAAAAAGTGGAAAATTAATTGATATTTCTATTAAAGAAAACTAATACATGAGTTTTACTTTTGTAGTTAATTTAATATATAACACTGTACATTTATTATTCAACACTGCAAACTGAAATGTATTTTAACCAATAATAATTATGTAATGCTATATCAGTTTGGAGAGGAAATCCAGAATAACATATGCAGTGGCTGAACATAAACATTATTTTATATACATAGTTCGCCATTTATCATGAATCTTGAATTATTTTGCTTAGCTTGCCAGTTCCATGGCAATTTTGTAAAAGGAAAATGACTTTGATTTTTTAATTATTTTTTGTGTGCAAATAAATACATTTAAAAATGTTATAGTGCACACTAAGATGTAAAGATAATGAGTGAAATTTAAAATTTGGCACTAATGTTTCTGATTAAATTTTCTTATGTTTTAGGTATTCCTTTATAATGAAGCTGGAGTTATATGGTGGCTTCTTCATATTCTAGTTGGGTGCTGTTGTTTAATACTGCTCTTAACTGTTATTTATATGAGAGAGAGACCTCTTGTAGAATTTCTTTTACACTATTGGAAGGAGAAGCATGTAGATGTTAAGGAAGAAGATGACAAGTTTGCTTAACCTTTTAATAAAATAATTTTATACACTTGCCTTAGTCGTTTTTAACATTGACTTGTTTTTTTATAATACTATATGTACATCTTTGTTTATGTAAGCAGTAAGACTTTTATACACTGAAGCAGGAAAGACATTGGTCTTTTTGTAATTCATATAGCTTTGCATTATTTAGTGCTATTTGATTGAGCTTATCTAAAACACACTTGACCATTCAATAGAACAGATGTTCAAATTATTTTTTACATAAAACGTTTAGTTCTTGAACTTGTGTACTTAATTAATGTAGTGGCAGAAATGTTTTTGAGTCCACCAAACTTTAAATACTAGTAAACTTAAAAGTTAACAGAAATATTTAACTGTTTTTGTTTAGGTATATTTGGAACTTTCAAGCAATACAGGACACTATATAATCTGTAGCAATCACTTCTTGTTAGAGTAATCTATTATTCAAATGATTTGTTTACAGAAAAACCATTGTTAAATTTTTGTAAATCTACTGCTTTTAATAAGGTTGAAAATAATTTTAATCCTCTTGTACAGTTGTTAAGTTTTTAACAATATTGTGTTGAAGTCTTCCACTCCTTAACTTGGCTCTATCACATGGTGTTTTATATATGTATTTATTTATTTTGACACATGCAATTATTGCAATTTAATGTTAATTATGTTACTTCTAGTACTCAGCAAAGTAAAAGTATTTTGTGACCTCCAGTGGCACAGCAGTAAGTCTGGGGACTTAGAATGCTAGAAACTGGGTTTGATACCTATGGTGGACACAGCACAAATAGCCCATTGTGTAGCTTTGTGCTTAATTACAAACAAACAAAAAGTTTTTTGAATATATAGATAAAATGAATAGATAAGATGAATGTGTGGCATCTTCCATTAATTATGTTAAAGTACCAGATTCATCAGTTAACTAGTACATGTATTTGCTAAACTACACTGACCATGGTTTGATGGGTTGACAGTGAATGGTAAACTTTCATCGTACTGACTTTAGTAATTGTGTACTGATGATAATTGGAAATCCTGAAATGCGTTAGTAATTTGAAGAACTTATAAATGAACGTAAAGAAGAATATGTAATAATATATCAACCACACTATATCTGCTATATCTAGTGCCGGAGAGGCCTTTTGCTCAATATCAGAGCTCATCAGGCTGGCTGGAATAATATTTTTTGAGATGCTATTTATATCATAAATTACTTGAACAACACACTGTTTCAGCATGAACTAGATTATTTTGATGAACAGCAAATTGTATAAATTCTATTTGAGTCATTACATATCAGAATTAGGTTTTTAATTATCTTTATTAACATCAAACTTGTTATTATTAATAAGTTTTGACTGCACTTATTATGTTGATGGGTAGTTCATAAGCTCTGGCTGCACTGACTATGTTGGTGAGTTTATAATAGTACATAAGCTTTATCTGTACTAACTATATTGGAGAGTTTATAATAGTACATAAGCTTTATCTGTACTAACTATATTTTTGAGTTTATAATAGTTCATAAGCTTTATCTGTACTAACTATGTTGGTGAGTTTATAATAGTACATAAGCTTTATCAGTACTAACTATGTTGGTGAGTTTATAATAGTACATAAGCTTTATCTGTACTAACTATATTGGCGAGTTTATAATAGTTCATAAGCTTTATCTGTACTATGTTGGTGAGCTTATAATAGTACAGAAGCTTTGGTTACAGGGCTGTGTTGTTTGTGTGTTAATAATAGCTCACAAACTGTGGCTGCACTGACCATGGCATAATAAGTTTATTGATAAATTTGAACTTCACAAATCATGGTACTGGTAGGCTAAAAAGAATTACAATAAAGTTTTGAACATGTAGATTTTGTGACATTGCTAAATTTGCTTAATCATCAGAACTTACACTTGAAAATTGTTAATTTGCTACAGTAGTCAACCAGCATTATTTAGATTTTTGGATATCACTGTAGTTAACTCTCAAATTACTGAATTATTTTTGTAACTAACTATTCATGATGTTACGAAAACATGTAGGTTCAAGAAATCAATTTAACACAAAAATATGATACCCTATAACCTGAGCGCTTTCAAAAGGTGGATCTTTCTTCTTCAGAGGCAAACCAAGAATGACAGTATAAAGCAAAGTGTGAGATAAAGTGAAAGAAAAGTCACCATGGACATCCAAAAGTGTTTTGAGTAACTGTCAATGTATTGTTATCAGTATTTCTCATTTCTGGTGTAATACTACCAGAAACAAGAATGTTGGATAGAAATAAGCTAGAGATGTTTTAAAAAAAAGAAAAATGGTCAAGAGAAACTATACTGAGTGTTGATAAAGTAAAATAAATGTGAGATACGAAAATTAATTGAAAAAAGGAATGTTAAACAGATATAATTAAAAAGTAACATGGAAATTCTAAAGAAATAGCAAATAATAAAAATATTAGGGTTAAAATTGAGAATTCACACTACATGAACAAAAAAACTATTTTTCTGTTAGAGAACAAACTAATGATCAGAAATCACTGATTCCAGGATATAGATTTATTCCACAAGGTTGAACGGTATTTAAAGTTGCAATCCAATAAACTTCTCTTGCCTTTGTATGGGCTTTAGTTTTTAAATCGCTTTCAATGCAGATGAGAGTCACACCATTAAAAGAATGAATGAGTTGGTTAAAGTGTTGGGCAACAGGGAGGTATTTTTTTGATATTAATAGAAGATTTATGGTTGTTGAAATGCTAAGAGTCGTTTGAGTCTGTCCTACATACTGGTGATTGCATTTTTACAATGTATGAGGTCAATAGTATTTTGTGTTGTGCAAGAAATTTCTTGAGAAATTTTAAAGTGTTTATAGTCATATTTGTAGTAAAAAGAGTTGGTGGGTTTTATAAACTTGCAGGTTAGACAGCAAGCTATATCACATGGATGACAACCATACTTTGTTATTCACTTTTGCATGGTCAAGAATATCTTTAAAACCTGTGCTTTTCCTGAAGGAGAAGATGGAAGCTTCAGGAAATGTTTGTCTCTAAGGTGATCATTCAGTTGTAGTAGATGGAAATCTTTCTGAGTTTAAAGTGAAAGGTAATAACAAGAGGAATTATGTTTTAAACCTTACTATTACACTGTTTAAGGATGGTTTCTCGTTGAGTGTTGTTAGCTATTTCAATCTGCCTGTCAATTTCGGTATCTTTATATCCTCTTTGTAATATGGTTTATTTTAGATCATTGGTTCTGTAATCTGTTTCATCTGAACATATTTTCTTTATTTGGAAAGTTTGACAGTTGGTAATATTCCGTTTAGTGTGAGTTTGGTGGCAGCTGTTATAAAGAAGATATTGTTGTCTGTTGTTAGATTTTCTGTACAAGTCAGTGTATAATATTCCGTCCTTTAAAAAGGACTTTGAGAAAGTTAATTTGGGTAGGGGAGTAGTCCAGGTCAACTTAATTGTTTTGTGATACTGGGGTAATAATGTTGCAAGAATTGTCAGATAAAGAAAGAGAGAGTTCAAGGGAATGGCGAGAGGGGTTGCTGTCTTCTTTAGACAATGTATGAATGAGTGGCGAAGCATAAGATGCAAGTCGAAGGTCATTATGAGATCCGATTTTTATAACTCTCACTATTAGTAGGGCCCACATATTGTATAATGTTGAGAAACGTTTTTGACCATTACAGCACTCAATTTAAATAACTGACCAAAAATATTGGATGAAATCACTCATTTTCTATGCAAAATACATAGGGGACCCCAGTAGTTATTATTAGATTAATTTCAATATTTATTGTATTTTTTACACTTTTTATTTTAATTTGATGCGTAGTTCAGAAAAATGTGTATAAAATGCTATTAATTCTAGAGTTAACAAAGGATTTCAACTGAAAGTTATTGATATGACGTACATTTTTATTTCAAAGTAAAAAATAAAGAAAAACAGGGTCAGTATCATGGCTTTTATTCTTGATCTCAGCCATAAAGAAAGACATTAAATACACTTACCTTAAGTTGAAAAGACAAGACTTCATCATCGTAATAAAACAAGTACATTTATGAAGATGGTTAAAATGGCTAGATACAGGGTTAGTCCATGTATAATTTTATGAACTTTCAACTTTTATTTATGTGTACAGTGTTTATTTTTCAAAGAGAACTTTAAATTGAGGCTGTACTTGGAAACTATTTTTGTAGTTAATGAAATAATTTTACACCATACTTTACAAGCAGTCCTGCGGGGTTGAGGTTGTTTGTAAGCTAAATGTGAATATATTTTATTTATATTTACTATTAACGTTAAACTTGATTTTATTTGATCTTTTTTATTCTTAGCTAACACAGCATATTTTTACTCACTAGTTCCTTATATATAATTACATGTGAATCATTTAATTTATGTAGGTTTATTTATATGTGTCTGTATGTATTTTATTAACATTAAGTTACTTTAGTTCAAAAGTATCAACTAATAACTACTTTTCATTGATCATGTGTGCATGACTTGGTGGTGACGACTCGCAATCTCTGGGTCGCGGGTTCGAATTCCATCATCAAACATGCTCGCCGCTTTCAGCCGTGGAGGCGTTATAATGTAACGGTCAATCCCACTACTTGTTTGTAAAAGAGTAGCCCAAAGTTGGCGGTGGATGGTGATGAAAGCTGCCTTCCTTCTAGTCCGTCACTTCTTAATTAGATATAACTAGCACGAAATTCAAGAAACAAACAAACAGTCATCGATCGTGACAGTTGTACATTTACGGTAACTGGTAAACTCGACAGCACTGGTAAAGGCATTGGTATATTGATAGTGATATTGGTTGGTTGTTGAAGACAATATGGCGAGTTTGATAATAAACAAAATTACGACACTTATGATATACAACATTGTTTATTGACAAAAAGGGGACATGTATAAATGTTTCGGAATGCTATCAGATTCCATCCAGTATCTGAAGCAGAATAAAATGAATTTACATAAGTCTTTATACATTGTTAAAGTACAGTTGCTAAATATAACGATAATTAAACAAATAAAACACTAAACAGTAATCATGGGGAGAAACTACAGCAAGAAAACACAACGAAAAAAAAAGGTAAAATCAGTAATACGAACATATTAAAAAAATGTATAATTTAAATGAAGACTGCATGCTGTTCAGTGTTGGAGAGTGCTGTTTGATGTGGAGGGTTTCTTTGATCAATAATT